CGCGCTCTGCCCTTCGCCAGCGCCCTCCCACAAAATGGCGGCCGCCGAGCGCCGCGCGCAGCCACCGCGGGCCGCGCGGATTGGCTTACACCCCCCTGCCGGCGAGCGGGTTCTCTCCGCCCCCGAGCTTCTGGTTGGCTGAGAAGCAGGTCGCCGCTTCCGCTTGCCCGTTCCCCTTTGCCCGCTGTACTGCTTCCGGCCGGCTCGTCGTGCTGCACGCGTGCGGTTCCCGGTCCCGCTCCCCCATCCCGGGCTCCCCCCGGCAGCGGCCCGGGGCCCGGCGGCAGCCAGAGAGGGGCTGCGGGGGCCAGAGCGACAGCGGCCGGGGCAGGTAAGGCCCCTGCGGGCAGAGCTCCTGCCTTGCCTGGTGCAGGCGTGGCCGGTGCAGCCGGCTCGGTTACCGGCCGTGGAAGGCGTCTCTGTTGCTCAGCGAGCCCTTTGACGAAGCGTGCCTTGATAAACTTTAATTTTCTTACGCGCTTTCACGTTTAAAGGAGTTTTATATGTCTAACGGACTGCTTTAAATTTGACAACATGGCGTTTCAGTGCTAATTTCTGTAGAAAGACCGTTGACTAAAGTCATAAATAGCATGTGAATCGTGACCTAATAAGTAAGCTGGTGTTTACTGTTTGAAACGTAGTAACGTTAAACGTATCTATTAAATATGTATAGAGAGGTACGGCTTACACAAAGATGTATCAAGTTATGTTAACCTTTAAGGGTGGTGTCCAAAAAGTAAACATCCAGACCAAGCTTACTTAGCATTTCACTCACAACTTTCTCCTTGATGACTGAAGCTGGTAATTTCACCTTGTCCACTGAATATAATAAAGATCTGTTCAGGTAACTTATGGTTAAAGCAGTTTTATGAGTATCTATGTGGTGCATCTGCCTTAAAAAATTATTACTCTAGTAGAATTGGGCAATAGTAAAAAGTGTTAGGGATGCACATATTTAGATGTACCATTGCAACACTTCAGTGTAGTCAAATGTTAAGTACATTTGGACGTGAGTTTTTGTTTTGTCACTGACTAACTGTAAAGTAGCCATCTGAATGATTTCTTAGTTTGGGGTAGTTCACTCTTATGTCTCTTCAGTGTTTGTGAGGAACAAGTGTAACAACTGCACGTTTAATCTCTGTGTCGTCGTTTGTCCTATAGAAGTGCAAGTATGGCATCCCTGGAAGAAAACTTTCCTCGAGGGGGCATCCAGAAAAAACCCACAGAGGGAAAAACACCGAACCCAAAGTTAGAGCGGGACAACTTGTTTGATGTATGTTGTTTGCGTGTTCTTGATTAACTCTTCTCAGGGTTCTTCCGCTGTCAGAATATGACCTGCAATCCTTCCTATCCCTTACTTCTATAGTAAACTGTAGAAGGGACTTCCAGAAAGAGGTAACTGCTGACATCCACCTTTATCCTGATCTCTTAAAGGTCCCTGATGTCTGATGCATGTTGCATGTGATGACAGAAAAAGTTCAATCAAAATTATCGATCAGGCTTTAACTTTTAAACTTCCCACAAGCATCTTATTCCCGAGGTGCTTGTGTAGTGAGGCTGGTGTTAGTGGATATAGACTGAGTTTGATCTTTCTTTTTCTGTTAGTAGAATGTGGTGCAAATCATTTGCACCATTCTTTTCCATTCCCAAGATTCACAGTTTTATAAATTATCAGCCTCAGCCCAAAGGAGATATTTTGGAAGACTTGCATGTAGACATATAGCAGTTAGCAAGGTTGTTCTCTTTTTTCTCTGATCCTAGGATTTTCTTCTAATTTTATTTCTGGCAACAGAGTTCTGCCTTAGTGCAAAGTTCATCTCTTTATCCACTTTTATTTTTTACCTTCTCTGCTTATAATCTGCTTTAGGTTCACCATGAAGAACAATCCCAGAAAAGAAGAAGAAGCCAGAGTGTTCAAGGAAAGCAGAAAAAGTTCAAGGCAGACAATATAGCCACTGCTAAAGACAGTGTTGTAAATATTGAACCACTCACAATTGAGGTTTGTGGATAAATGTTTTTATTTTGTGTGCCCCCCTCTTCTGGGCTGTGTAAAAATGACATGTTCTTCCTCACTAAACCTGTAAAATATATCAGTGATTTGGGACAAAAATGTGTTTACCACCTTTATCACTGACTTGCCAAGATATCCACAGTATGCTATTCTTCCTGCTTTCCCAGGCGCTCTGTGAGGGGATGCTGGTCCTTGGTTGTATAAAAGAGGTCAGTGACTACGAGCTAGTCATCAGCTTGCCCAATGGACTTTCAGGATTTGTGCCGGTCACACAGATCAGCGATGCCTACAGCAAACTGCTGAGCAAAGAGGTGGCCCAAGGAGAACTCCTGGAGGTGAGACCTTGGACTGAGGCTGTGATTTGTGCCTGGAAGCTAGGGGGTGTTCATAATATCTCAGAACCACTGCTGAGGTCTTGCTTAGGAGCCTGGTTTCTAGTGTCTTGCAGCTGACTTGAATATGATCACCTGCAGTGCCTTAGCTTTGGCTAAATAGTCCTTGAACTTCGTAGACAGCCTGTTGAACATGAAGAGATTTGTGTTTCCTATTTGCTGCTGAAGCTAAATACTTATTCCTGGCTGTAGGCAACGATGGCAGGAAGTTAGGGAAATGGTTGGAAAATGATGTGAGCGTGCAAGTGTTTTTCAGGGGCATGGGGAGTAGCACAGTCCTTGCAGTTTAATTGTGTGTTGACGTGTGCAACATGCTACTGCGTAGTGCTAATGTAGACTGACATTGCTTTGGAACTGGCTTTTCGAAGCAAACTTTGCAATTTCCTGATAATGCTGATTGCTAGAAAGAAAAAGGATGGAGTAACCTGTTACCCTGTCTCTCTGGTGTCAGCACTTCAAAAGTTTTCCCAAGGTGGTGTGGAGTGTGGGACCTGCCAGGTACAGTGGCCTTTTGGTGGTGGTGTTTTTCTCTGTTAAGGAGGGAGGTGAGGTTAGGGTCATTGTTGGCTCTATACATGTTTCCTTGGCTGCAGCCTTCTGACTCCAGCCCACACAGTATTCCTTTTTAAGCAAAGCGTACCAGTCTTGCTAACATTGCATAGTGTCATCCCTGCCTCTGTACTGAGATCATGGTGTTTGTGGCATTTCCTGTCTCTTATTGTAGGGTTGACAGAGAAACAAGACTTTACTATGGGATTTTGATTTCAAAAGCTACTTCAGTAACAAATTCTGGCTGCCTTATATTATTTAATATTGTAAAATTTGTATGTTTCTCTCTTGATCATCTTGCTGGGCAGGACTTGAATTCGCTCTCGGACATGTATTCTCCAGGGATGCTCGTCAGGTGCATTGTGACCAGTGTTGAGAAAAGTGCTGATGGACGTCGGAGTATCAAATTATCAATTGACCCCAAGAAGGTCAATAAGGGTCTGAACGCTTCAGCACTAGCATCAGGCATGGTACGTGTTCTGGGTCTGTCACAGCCTCTGTAGGCTTTGGAGGTGCTTCTTGCACAGTGCATGGGAGAACATTTCAGTTTGTCCTTGCATGGGATCAGACCAGAATGTAGAGCTGCTCCCACCATGGAAGAGACCTGGGAGGAGAGGGCAGTATTGGGTCTTGGCTCCAGGCTATCACTCATGAAATCCATTCACCCAGTTCTGTTTTGATATGGACAAGTTATTTAATGATTTCTTTCTGGGTAGGTTTCTTTGTTATTTAACATGCCTTGCAGAGGTGCTTAGTTGTTTAGTTTTTGTCTTTCCAGCTGTATGATTGTAGGCATGTGCCTGCAATTAGACCACCTGCTGTTTTTGAGCATCCCAGTATTTTTTCCCTACCGGTTTCTGAAGTCCATACATGCATAGTTGGATAAGGGTAGAGTTGAGACCTCACTGCTAGATGAGCTGTGTAATAAGAAAGAATGTAGTGTTCTTTCTGCTGCTCTGGAGAGCTTAGTGCTCTGTCCTTATGAAACAAGTGAGTACTTGGGTGGGGAATCTTACCAGATGTGCATTCTTTGAAGACCCAGCAGTTTCATCACGTTACTGAATTGCAGTGCTTCCTTCCCAACAGCTGCTCTCTGGTTTTGTGTCTAGTGTGGAGGACCATGGCTACCTCATTGATATTGGAGTCAGTGGGACTCATGCTTTCCTGCCTCGTCAGAAAGCCCAAAATTACATCAAAGCAGTCAAGAGAGGTAAGAAGCAGTGCAGGAGGAGCTGCTGGGGTTAAAACAGAGGTGGAGAATGAGAGAGATTAAAGCTTGTCTTATCTGTGGTGTTAGTGCACCTCAGTGAGATTGGGTCAAAGTGGAGTCTTTGCGAGTTGCTGAAAACAGCAGTTTTGTGGCTGGTCTGCAGCAAACCGTTGGATTTCAGCCTGCTTTCTGTAAAAGTTTTGGAAAGATCAGAAGGGAATCCCTGAGTGTTCCTGGTGGAGGTTTTATGCTGTGACTTGTCTTTGTAGGGCCTGACTTGAAAATAGGCCAGAACCTGAACTGTATCATTGTGGAAGTAAAGAACGAGGGAAGAGTGGTCCGTTTGTCTGTTGATCGATCAGAGGTTGCTGCATCCCTTGCAACAGAGCGACAGAACTGGACACTCTCCAATTTATTGCCAGGGCTGGTGGTGAAAGCTCGAGTGCAAAAGGTAAACTCTAGTTTGGGTTT